GTTCTCACATGTTTCATTAATAAAAATGACAGGCCAGTTTAAATATAGTACACAAGACCTTTATGGTATTTTTATATTGTGCTTTTTGGTGCATCACCATGAACTATTGTGAAATTATTCTTTAGAATTTTTCCAGGATGTGGCGCTTTTTTTGGCTATTCCTTTAACTTCTCTGATATGATTTTTTACTTACAGTACAATACCATTTACAAGTTTGGGGTCAGATAAGATTTTTTTTATTTTTATTTTTATTAATACTTTTATTTAGCAAGAATGCGTTAAATTTATCAAAAGTGACAGTAAAGACAATTACAATGATACAAAAGATTACTAATTCACACACATGCTATTTTTTTAAACTTTCTACTCATTAGAGATTAAAGAATCCTGAAAAGAAAAGTATCACAATTTCCACAAAAATATTAAGCAGCACAACTGGTTTCAACATTGATTATAAGAAATGTTTCTTGAGCAGCAAATCAGCATATTAGAATGATTTCTGAAGGATCATGTGACACTGAAGACTTCAGTGTTGCCATCACAGGAACACTGTAAACCCGAATAAGTTGGCACAACTCAAAAAATTTAAGGCAATAAATTGCCTCAAATTTTTTAAGTTAAGAAATTCAAAGTTTAAGTAAGCAGAACTGACATATTTTTATTTTGTATTTGTACATTTGAATTGTTCTTAACTTGAAATGTTTGAGTACACTAATTCATACATTTAACTTAAAATTTCATGGAATCTCAATGTGAACACTTTTATTAGTATAAACTTAGCTAGCTTTAACAAGCTAGTTTGCTAACATACTATTTTGTTAACTTCTTAACAATAGTATGCTATACAGCAACACTTGCAGCAATATAAATATTTAATTTGCTCTCAAATCAAGCTCATGCACCACTTGTCACCATGATGGTAACTATCCTAAAACTAACATTAACAGAAATTCTTCTAAATTAGCATAACGAAACATTAATCATTACTAAATCACCCGCTTAACATTAATCTTGCACAAAAAAACATTGTATTACACTTAATTTTAGCATTTACTCTCCCTTTCGAGTGCCATCGGCAAAGCATGCTGGGAAATATACATCCCAGCCGTTTCAGTTAAACTTAAGTTCGTCTAAATTAAAAGAAATAATTTCATAAAACTCAAAACAATGAAATAGTTCAGTTTACTTAAAATATATCCATTCTGTGAACTTGAAAGAAAAAGAAAGTGCTAAATACTCATAAAAGTTAATTTGACTGAACTAATTAGTGTAATTTAAGTTTTTCCTACTCAAACCAATTAAGTATTTTGAGCGTTAGGGTTTACAGTGAATAAATTACATTTTAAAATATATTCACATAGAAAACAGTTATTTTAAATTGTAATAATATTTCACAATAATACCGTTTTACTGTACTTTTGATCAAATGCAGACTTGGTGAACATAAGAGACTTTTTTCTTCTTTTTTTTAATCGTACCGAACCCAAACTTTTTATTGTGTATATGTATAAATTTCAAACCTAAATCTCTCCCTTTTTTTTAAATAATTGTATTCCTAAAAGAAAGCCCAAGAACACCTGCCGGATTCCTTGATCCCACTCCCACATGGAAGCAAAAGCTAAAGGAGCGCCGAAGTCTGCCTCCAAAGCAGAGAAGAAGGAGGTAGCCCCACCGCCAAAGCCAGACCCCGTCTCTGCTGAACCCGCGGAACCCGAGAAGCCCGCGGAAGATGGAGCCACCAACCAACAGGGGGCGACGGAGTCCACAGGAAGTAGCTGTGAAACCTTAGAAAGTTTGAAGCCTTTCCTGATTGGAGGAGCTGTCATCGCCCTTGGAGCTGTATTGGTGGGCGTAATCGTATTAGCCAAGAAAAACTGACCCGAGACCTGTGATTGGTTGTTAAATGGCGGGGGTTGATTAGTTCACAGACTATTAAAGTTTATATAAGGGGGGTGTTGAGTCACTAGGTGTCTTAATTTTAAGCTGTGCTTTAATTTCAGAGTTTGTTCCCGCCGGCTAAAGCAAGCTAGAGATGCATTTAGGCCAAACACTTTTTCACATAGCATTCAACACAGTTGCATATCTACATCCTCAAAGTCACTTCTGCCTGCTGGTTCAATGGTCAAATTACATCATCGTCCATGCCATAATGATGACGTGAATACAATTATACAAATATTTTTTCCAAGCTGGTCTCAAAACCCATAACTGCCAATTGTAAGATAAGACAATATTAAAGTGCATGATTCAAGGTTAACAATACAGAAGTTTTCTGGAGTTTATGGAAATGAAATGCTATTTATATAAAGCAATTGGTTTCATATTCAAATACTAATGCAAATCCATTTGTACAAGTACATGGCTCTGACATCTATTGCAGTTAGGCCTGTATTGTTGAGAGATGGTGTAGAAATGTAAAGAAAATTGCAGTTGTAATATCATTAGTTTAAAATGATCTGTGTTCAATTTGTATTTGTCATCACCTGTCATCATCCCCTAACCAAAAATAAGTCATTCTATAATTCAGTAACCTTGCCTGTGGATTGCATAGTGCCATTTCAAAATCTTATTTTTTTCGTTTGTTTGAACGATGTTGACGATTTTCTGAAGCTGGCCAATGGAAATAGATGTGTGATGCAATATAGATGCAACGTAGATTATGACGGCTTTTGTCCAACAGCTTCAATTTCACAGTTACACTATGAAGAGCGCTCTACACAACAGAAACAATCCCTAAATGCATGCAGACACGAACAATATACACTTACACGTCACATGACATACTGTTACAGAAAATGACATTTTCTTTAAAGTGCGTATATAATGCAATAATTCCAATAGAACTCTGTATTTAAAAGAAAGAAGACCATTTATTAGTTGTGATACTGATGGTAATGATGTTGATGGTGATGTGGCAACATGGTGGTTGTCTTGGTGGTGGTGATGATGAATGATTATGATTTTATTTGTTGAAGTTTACCTATCCCTCTAATGTGTCCCTTATTCCCTCCTGCCATATGTATTTTACACACACCCTCGCCCGCTGCCTTTCTGCTGTTCCTCGTGTGAAATAAAATAAGATGGCTCCCTTGTGACTTGATGGCCTTATTAAAGGACAATGAACTATAATTTCCCAGACTCAGTGTTTTTTTTTTCCGTTAGTTATTTTTGTTCGTTTTTGAAGGCTGAATTCAATGCTTGCTTAAAGCCTATTTTTTCATTCTTGAGACTGATTTCTTTGCTATTTTTCCTTTATATTTACTAAATGTAGCAGTGACTTTTAACAGGGAATTAGAAAATCTGCTAATGTAGAATTTACTGAATTGACAATAGTTTTTATCAGTAAAACACAACTTCTATCACTACTTCTACTACAACTAATAATAATAACACCTTATTTATTTATGTTATATATATATATTTTATTATGAAGTGTCCATTGAAGGGTGCATCACATTTGAGAATGGCAACAGCAGTGGGACAGGGATACTAAAAGAGACATTTACAGTATACCATAAGAATTGGATGCTTTGTTTCCAGTCAAGACTTGTGCATGCTTTTATCACCAGCAGGGTGGATTATTGTAATGGCCTCCTCACTGGCCTTCCTAAAAAGACCATAAGACAGTTGCAGCTCATACAGAACGCTGCTGCCAGGCTTCTGAGCAGAACCAGAAAATATGAACACATCACACCAGTCCTCAGGTCTCTACACTGGCTCCCAGTTACATTTAGGACCGATTTTAAAGTATTATTACTGGTATATAAATCATTCAATGGGCTAGGACCTCAATATATTGCAGATATGCTGACTGAATATAAACCCAACAGATCACTCAGATCATCAGGATCACATCAGCTAGAAAGTCAGCAGCCATATCACCCTGTAGCCCAAGACTGGTTGCCCACTGAAGCTAAGCAGGGCTGAGCCTGGTTAGTACCTGGATGGGAGACCTCCTGAGAAAACCAGGTTGCTGCTGGAAGAGGTGTTAGTGAGGCCAGCAGGGGGTGCTCATCCTGTGGTCTGTTTGGGTCCCAACGCCCCAGTATACTGGCGGGGACACTATACTGTCAAAGAGCCGTGAGACGTTAAACCAAGGTCCTGACTCTCTGTGGTCATTAAAAATCCCAGGATGTCCTTCGAAAAAGAGTAGGGGTGTAACCCTGGCATCCTGGCCAAATTTGCCCATTGGCCTCTGTCCATCATGGCCTCCTAATCATCCCCATATACTGCTTCATCACTCTGTCTCCTCTCCACCAGTAAGCTGGTGTGTGGTGGGCGTTCTGGCGCACTATGGCTGCCGTCGCATCATCCAGGTGGATGCTGCACATTGGTGGTGGTTGAGGAGATTCCCCCTTCTATGTAAAGCGCTTTGAGTACCCAGAAAAGCTCTATATAAATGTAACAAATTATAAATACCAAGGGTTCACTCTAAGCATGGAGAGTCTGCTTTTAGCTATTATGCCAGCCGCAGCTGGAACCAGCTTCCAGAGGAGATCAGATGTGCTCCTACAGTAAGCTAGTCACATTCAAATCCAGACTCAAAACACATCTGTTTAGCTATGCATTTACTGAATGAGCACTGTGCCACTGTTCGTCCGACTGTTTTTACTGTATTTTATTTTATTTTATTTGTTTTAATTATTCTTACTTCTTTTGATTATTTTAATTTCTTCTATGTAAAGCACTTTGAATTACCATTGTGTATGAAATGTGCTACATAAATAAACTTGCCTTGCCTGGCCTTGCCTTGCCTAAGGAGAACTTTTCTGTAATCTGTTTTTTTATATATATGCAACAGTAAGGATATCAGTATTTCTTCTTCTTCTTATATCAGTAAGAAGAAGAAGAAGAAGAAGAAGAAGAAGAAGAAGAAGAAGAGTTTGTCCGAATTTTCTCATGTTGCTCACTCGCTTTAGAAGGGCGCGGAACGCTTCTCATAACCTTGTTTCCGCCCGTGTGTATTTGACAAACGCAATGCGGAATTTACGCATTTGAAATGCGTCTGGTTTTAGCGGCACAAGAGAAACGTGTGTAGCGTGTTGTTTTGGTAATATTTCTTACATTTTGTTCAATCTTGAATAATAATAAAATAAAATAATTGTTAAAGTTTAGTCGTGGGTTTGTAACTAAGGAAATTACCTCGCGCTGAACCTCGATACTATATATTTTTCTACGAGTCACTAGTAAGTCTGTAAGCTTACTGCGCTTATTAAATGCTTGTTTATATCTCAGCATGCATTACTGTGATACATGTTTATCTTGGCAGCATTGTATTTTTTTCGGCGTAATGCAATCGAGAGAGAGAGAGTGTGTGTATACAAAAATAACATAATTATGACATACAATTTTAATTGTTAATTATGATTGAGGTTATTATAATTTAGATTTGTGAGGTTAAAATTTACAATTTTGAGATTAAAAAGTCAAAATTATAGGTTTTCAAGTAAGATTTCAGGTATTCAGAATTTCAGCTTATGTATTATAGTTATAATTTAAGTCATAATTTCGACTTGTCTCATGAATATGACATCATATTTTGACTTATGTTATAATGACAAGCTGCTTTTCTTATGTGGCGAAAAACCCTTACTTTTTCTTCTTCTTCTCAGGCCCCTGTCCTTCACCATGATCATCCCTGTTCGCTGCTTCACTTGTGGGAAAATCGTTGGGAACAAATGGGAGGCGTATTTAGGTCTTCTTCAAGCGGAGTATACAGAGGGGTGAGTTCATGAAATGTCCATCAGTGTCTGATTTCTCTGCATGTCTTACGGTGAACTGAATCTCACTCTTTGCTCATTTTCACAGTGATGCTCTCGATGCTCTGGGTTTGAAGAGATACTGCTGTCGCCGGATGCTTCTGGCCCACGTGGATCTTATCGAGAAGTTGTTGAATTATGCACCGCTGGAGAAATGAGGAGCTTTCTGTGCAATTGAAGATGAAAATCCCGCTCGGCCTCACGTATTTTCAAAGACTTGATCCTAATGGAAGATAATACAGGCGTGGGCTTCAACACAAACACGGCTGGTTCATTAGAATACATCTGAAGAAACGTATTATGTGGAATGTTTATTAGCATCTTGTTTATTAGCATTTTGTTTGTTAGCATTTTGTTAAATAAAGATTGAAATATCTCTGTTGTACCGTTCATTACATAATGAGGGAATCCTAAAAGGGAAGCTTTTCCAATCGTAGAGTGAATCTTGATATTTGAGTTACTGTACATGTTTGTTTGTACAAAAAAAGGAAATTTGTTCTAAAATGGAAGTTGTCATTATTTACTCAGCCTTATTGTTTTATAAACCTGTGTGCTGCCATTTTTTCTGTTACACAAGAAGAGAAGTTTTTTCACAGCTTTTTACTATATAACAATGGTTCACAACTTTGCAATGACACACCGGTCAAGTGTTAGAAGAACCAGTGTTTGGGTTAACGATTAAAAGTAATGAGAGTTATGTAATTAGATTACTTTTTCACGTAACTAGTAAAGTGACGCATTTCTTTTAAATGTATAAAAATAAAGGCTAATTCATAATTTTAATAACTAACTATTTTTATATAATTCTAAAATAACACTGCTGTCAAAATTGTTGCTGAAAACATTTGAACGTTAAAAAAAATCCATGTTGTATTTAAGTACTGTGTTAACTTTAATAACTTTATTTATTTTTAATTAGACATTCGGAGTCAGATTTTGTGCTTATTTTAGGTTAAATAAAAGTAAAAGAAATAAACATACAGGATAATTACCTATCATAATTAATAACACTGTCCCTTTAAAATAATTATATAAAGCTGAAAACTTCCATCCGCTTTCACAAGTGTTCACTGAAATACAGTCCCTAGGAAACAAACCATAGCTTTTTTTATTAGGATTTACCTTTTAAACTTACACGTGTCCGCCCAATGGTCAAGGACAAACTCAAGATTGAAAAACACACTTGTCATGCCTACACGGTATAGAAAAAAAAGAACTATTCAAAGCAACATTCAAATGATATTCAAATAGAAAAATGATATTGACCTTGCCAACATGGCGCCCGCTCCACTACGTTTCCTGTTCCTCTGTTGTGAAACAGTTGCATAAACTCTCCTTCAAAATAAAACATTGTCACTTTGTCAGCCAAGCAAGCACTTGATCAGTCATACATTACTGAAGATACTTCTCGATAACATGTTTTCAGCAGCTATTGCAAGAAAGGTACGTTTATTTGCTTTGCATTCATATGTGGCGACAGGTTTTATAGATCTAATTTGACCTCACGATTCTGAAGTGGCATAACAAGAACATCTTTCTGAGCCCATCACAAATTAATATCATACAGCTAATATATACAATTAAAATTATACGGGTTTGGAAAGTTGGATATTTATCCTGTCGTTTTGTTTTGAATGTCTGAGCAAGGACAGATGAGGATATAACATCTTAAGCGTTATTAATCTAACCCCTGAATTCACACACAAGACTAATTTCAATCTTTTGTTATAATACAGTTTCCTAAACAATGCAACAGATTCTTCATCTCTTGAGATACAGTAATTAATTTTGCTCACTGTATTGATTTAAAACAATATTTTATTTCTAGATATTTATGCTTTTAATTTTTTATTGTGTATCTGTATATATATATAGTTTGTTTATATTTATATAAACTCTGCAGGACAGTGGCCCTCCAGGAACTGAGTTTGACACCTGTGCTTTACAGGTTTAGTGTGTGTGTGTATATATACCGGTAATCATTTAACTAAAAATAGAATGAAAACAAAAATGATAAAAACACAAACTGTAACACTAGAATATCGATGATATTAAAATAACACTGGGTCATACATGTTCCTGTATAAAGTCCTGGTGTATGGAAGATGTCCTCTTTTCTGTGCCAAATATAATGTCATAGATATATTTTATTTTTTAGAAATGTATTTTATTTATTTTTTACAAAAATATATGATATAGAATATGCTGTAATATGCCTTGAGACAAAACACTATAATGATGCCAAACCCTTTTTTCAGGATGATTATTGTGACGTTATTAATTGGCATTCATATAATTCATTAAATTCATTTAATATAATGCGTACATGGACTGCTGATTACTTTTGATTATGTGTGATAAAACCTACACAGCCATATAAAATAGTTTATGTGGATAAGAGTCAAGGCCAGAGGAGATTTTTAACATTGTTTGATTTGGATCTATTCCCAGGTTGTTAGTTCGGTTTGCCGAGCATCACTGCGTCCAGCTGTTGGCACAGTGGTTTCTCGGGGTTACCGAGGTGATGCCCCAGAACCAACCCTCATTGAGATCCCACTGCCACCGTGGGAGGAGAGGACAGGCGAGTCCCTGGAGATCAAGAAGAAAAGACTCCTGTATGAGAGCCGCAAGAGAGGCATGCTGGAGAACTGCATCCTTCTGAGGTTAGTAGGTTAAAGTCCCCCTGTAGTCAATCATTTTATTCCTTAAAACTCATCTTTGATCACCAAAATTACATATTTAAACATTTTTTTTCCTGTGAAAAAATGTCTTTGTGCCTTAAAATAGCTTGAATGTAACTCTACACCCTTGCTTCATTTAGTGCGCAGATCCATGAATATGCTCATGAGCCCCGCCTCCACTCACTCACACCAGCTCAAAGATTCGCCCGCTCATCTTTACTGTAAACGCTGCACAATGGCAATTGGAAATACTGGTTTATCTCAGCCATATATGTTTGAACCGATTAAGAAGGACTTAAAGAGTGAATTAGACAGGATCGTCTTCAAGTCGCTGTATCAGAATGGTAATGCCTTCGATGTATCGCTCTCTACAATGTCGGACACATAACGGTAATTGATATGATTAGCCTTTGGCTTGACTACGTTATCAAACAGCTAATAATGTGTTACTAATGTTACACAAGCCATGTTCCCGTTCACCATCTCAGAGTCAAACAGCTGCCTTCTAAAAATTAGCATCCTTAGAAACACTTTGAACAACTCAGAACGTCACTGGAGAAAGGCATATAGTTCATCATAACATCGTAATATACATCATAAACCCGTTATATTGCTAAATGTACACGATTTTTCATATCAACAGAAAAATATACGGAGATAACCCTGACTTCTCAATGGTGTTGACTTCTGAATTTGCACATTTGTCTTAAAGCAAATTAAAAACACCACATAGACATATACAGGTCCTTCTCAAAAAATTAGCATATTGTGATAAAGTTCATTATTTTCCATAATGTAATGATAAAAATTAAACTTTCATATATTTTAGATTCATTGCACACCAACTGAAATATTTCAGGTCTTTTATTGTTTTAATACTGATGATTTTGGCATATAGCTCATGAAAACCCAAAATTCCTGTCTAAAAAAATTAGCATATTTCATCCGACCAATAAAAGAAGTGTTTTTAATACAAAAAGAAAAGTCAACCTTCAAATAATTATGTTCAGTTATGCACTCAATAGTCAATACTTGGTCGGGAATCCTTTTGCAGAAATGACTGCTTCAATGCGGCGTGGCATGGAGGCAATCAGCCTGTGGCACTGCTGAGGTGTTATGGAGGCCCAGGATGCTTCGATAGCGGCCTTAAGCTCATCCAGAGTGTTGGGTCTTGCGTCTCTCAACTTTCTCTTCACAATATCCCACAGATTCTCTATGGGGTTCAGGTCAGGAGAGCTGGCAGGCCAATTGAGCACAGTAATACCATGGTCAGTAAACCATTTACCAGTGGTTTTGGCACTGTGAGCAGGTGCCAGGTCGTGCTGAAAAATGAAATCTTCATCTCCATAAAGCTTTTCAGCAGATGGAAGCATGAAGTGCTCCAAAATCTCCTGATAGCTAGCTGCATTGACCCTGCCCTTGATAAAACACAGTGGACCAACACCAGCAGCTGACATGGCACCCCAGACCAAAACTGACTGTGGGTACTTGACACTGGACTTCAGGCATTTTGGCATTTCCTTCTCCCTAGTCTTCCTCCAGACTCTGGCACCTTGATTTCCGAATGACATGCAAAACTGAGCAACAGTCCAGTGCTGCTTCTCTGTAGCCCAGGTCAGGCGCTTCTGCCGCTGTTTCTGGTTCAAAAGTGGCTTGACCTGGGGAATGCGGCACCTGTAGCCCATTTCCTGCACACGCCTGTGCACGGTGGCTCTGGATGTTTCTACTCCAGACTCAGTCCACTGCTTCCGCAGGTCCCCCAAGGTCTGGAATCGGTCCTTCTCCACAATCTTCCTCAGGGTCCGGTCACCTCTTCTCGTTGTGCAGCGTTTTTTTGCCACACTTTTTCCTTCCCACAGACTTCCCACTGAGGTGCCTTGATACAGCACTCTGGGAACAGCCTATTTGTTCAGAAATTTCTTTCTGTCTTACCCTCTTTGCTTGAGGGTGTCAATGATGGCCTTCTGGACAGCAGTCAGGTCGGCAGTCTTACCCATGATTGGGGTTTTGAGTAATGAAACAGGCTGGGAGTTTTTAAAAGCCTCAGGAATCGTTTGCAGGTGTTTAGAGTTAATTAGTTGATTCAGATGATTAGGTTAATAGCTTGTTTAGAGACCCTTTTCATGATATGCTAATTTTTTGAGACAGGAATTTTGGGTTTTCATGAGCTGTATGTCAAAATCATCAGTATTAAAACAATAAAAGACCTGAAATATTTCAGTTGGTGTGCAATGAATCTAAAATATATGAAAGTTTAATTTGTATCATTACATTATGGAAAATAATGAACTTTATCACAATATGCAAATTTTTTGAGAAGGACCTGTAAACAACTATATATTTACACAATTTTACATTGTTGGGTGAACTATTTTGAAGTAAAATAAAATATATATAAAAAATTATTGCCTTATGTAATTACTACAAAAAAAAATTGTTTAATTAGAAAATTATAATTTGATGTACTAAAATACCTAAAACTGAAATAAAAAATGTATGAAGAACTATATAGACATAAAAAAAAGTTTAATATAAATGACAAAAACACAATAAATGACTTAAACTTGAACTAAAATTAAAATAAAACAGAACATATGATTTAAAAAAAAATATTAATAAAAAATATAATAATAGTATCTCTGTGATACTAAAATAACATTGTTCCATATTATTCAAAATCAAGGGAAAGCTAATCTGAATACTTTTTGTTTTGTTTTGTTACCAGCCTTTTTGCAAAGCGGTACCTGAATACAATGAGTGAATCCCAGCTAAAGCAGTATGACAGACTCATCAATGAACCCAGCAATGACTGGGACATCTACTACTGGGCTACAGGTATGAACAGACAAATAAAATAGATGTTCAGTGGTGTAGAGCTCTGCTCAGGCATGAAATTGACTTTGATTTTATTCATTGAATATTTTTCTGTGGAGTAACAGTAGTGGCGTATTGTGCACAATACGACCAGGAACATGTATAAAGGAATGAAATGAGTTTGCAAACGTCTTCCTCCCGTCAGATGCTCAGCCGACACCTGATGTGTACCAGGGCGAGGTGATGGACATGCTCAAAGAGTTCGCCAAGAACAAGGACATGGAGCAGCGTCTGGATGCCCCTAATCTTGAATATCTGGACAAGAGCAGCTAAAACTCAGCCTTCTGCCAGAGACTGTCATAGAAAACCAGAACTGAGCTCATTAAAGCACCTGAGACGCAACAGATATCATATATATATATCATTTAGATACATTAAATATATACAGTGAATTAACACACACACACACACACACACACATAAATAAATTATACATATAAACGCTGTACAGTGACTGTGATGTGAAAATAGCAGTTGTATTAAAGTTTGTTCTTATCGATGACTGAAGTGTTGGTCTCAATAGGTTTATAACAACCACAGGAAGAATATTTCCAATGAAATAAATTATTTCCGGTTATCTTTCTGATGTGACATGGCATGGAACAAATTTGTGTCATGAGTTCATCCATTAAGAGGCTATAGAGTACTTTGCTACAGGCACTGAAAAGCACAAAGAGTGAATCATGTAATTTTTTAAGTAGCTTGGTTAACAACTCAGTGTGTATTCAAAGATTAAACAGAGTCGTGCTAAAGAGATTTGATGAGATCTGAAATGTGCTAAAGACACGTCAGACAGGAATGTTGTTTAGCTTGTTTAATGTGGCTGGTCAGTTGTCAATACAATGTCATTCATATATTTTTATGTTTGTCCAAATATGCTTTGGAACCAAAGCGTACATGCATTTTGAAAGATCTCAGCCAGAAGATGGCAGACTTTTCCTTTGCTAATAAGGTGAATGTAAAGAGGTGTGCAGCGACTGTTGAAATGCATCCAAGTATTTTGACTAATCGAGTCCTTTAACATCATACTCAACTAGCGGTTGTTCGCCGCAGGAGCGAGTGCACTTTTCACCAAAACAGATCCGACACTGTCCTGAATGCTGAGGTACACAGACGTCAAAGGGCATGCGATTTGATGGCAGTGAGCTTTTAGTCATGACAGTTTTCTCCTTTAAGGGAGCAATGTCCCAGATATGTGTCCTGTGTACCTGTGTAGCCTGCATTTTTAAAAATGACTAAACACAGGCGTTCTCACTGCTAAAAAGCACAGATGCCACAGGGCTGTGGCGCTTTCGTTCACATGCTGGGGTTTCAGTGCGACTATACCAATATATCTGTTTCTTAAAAAAAAAAAAAAAAAAAAGTAGTGCTGCTTGGCTTGCTAAGGAAAGATTGACTATTTCTTTTTGCTCAGTGGGTTTTGGGATTTGAACTCCCCAAATCTCATCCTGTTTGTGCTGAACAAGGGAGTTGATTGACACACACCCCTATAGACCTTAGTTAGGTTAGGCGCAATATTGAATTTAACACGAATGAAAACAAGGTTGTGTGGGGAAACTTATATTTGGAGTGTTTGTCAACTTAATTTTTTTTTTTTTCTGAGAGATGTTTCAATAGTTACTACAATCCATTGAACACTCTAGGCTTCTTTCCCTCAGAGCCTCTTTCATAAGTATGGCACTACCCTGATAAAGGTCTATAGCAACCACTCTGAAGACCTCAGCAACAGCATTGCAACACCATAGCAAACATCCACAATACCTTAGCACTTAAAATATGCAAGCAACAGGCAGTCACCTATTTGTGTTTTTTTTTTTTTTTACTGTTATTCTGAAATAATGTATGCTGTACACATCACCCTGAATCCCGGACAAGAACATGAAGGGAGGGTAAAATTGTCATATTCAAAAGGAACTGATAGAACTGTTGCCAATCCTTAGAACCACAGAAAAAGGAGGAAATGAAGCAGAATATAAAGCAAAATGAAACCATATAAAGGAAAACAATAGAGAGTTTCTGAATTTCAAAGGCAGACATATACTGCCTTTCAAAAGTTATCGATTTTGAATGTTATATTTTATACTCACCAATTAAGGCTGCATTTATTTGACCAAAAAAAGTAATGTTGTGAAATATTATTACAATTTAAAAGAACTTTCTACGTTAATATATTTAAAAATGCAAAGCTGAATTTTCAGCATCATTACTCCAGACTTCAGTGTCACATAATCCTTCAGAAATCATTAAAAAATGCTGATTTGCTCCAGAAACGTTACTTATTATTGTTATCAATGTTGAAAACAGATACATTTAGAGATAAAAACAGAGATAAATTTAGAAAATAGAGTTAAAAAAACAGCATTTATTTAAAATAGGAATCTTTTGTAACATGTAAATGTCTGTAATGTCACTTTTCATCAAATTAATTCACACTTACTGAATAAAACGATTTATTTCCCTAAAAATGAAAAAAGACATCTTGAATATGTACTGTCCTGTACCAGTGGTTTTCAGTTGGGTTGTACATTGGGCATCAATTGGACACAGCACATTGTTTATCATATAAATGTAAAAAGTCCTTAGAATTATTGGGTTCACAAACAGGGCTTAGATTAATCCAGGATTAGGACTTAGTTCAAGGACATTCAAGTAGCTTTTATAAATGTAAATTGGAAGCAGAAAAAAAAAACATTACTGTTGTGCATCTTGAGACAAAACAAATGCGCTGTCATTTTAAGTTGCTTTCAGTTAAACCAGCTCAAAATTTTTAGTCTGGGACTAGACTTAAGCCTTATCTGTAAAACCAGGGGTTAATATTACCATCTTCTCTATAAGACCAACAAAATGCAACATTATTAACATGACAAAGACTGAATATGTAAATGCAGAAAGAAAGTACAGAAGAAGTGTGATTTACCAGCCAAACAAACATAAAGGAGATTCAGTGCATCTTGACTGCTGCATTATAGCTTCATTTTGCTCAGTATCAAAACCTTTGTGAGAATAGTGCATAACAGACAAGTGACTGATGAATTGACAGCAAAATACTGTAAAGTTTGATTGGACAAATACATATCTTTGAGCCTTTGGTCCTGACCTGCCAGTTGAGCAATACAGTACAGTGTAATATGTTTGTCTTTAACATGTTTTCACTGTGAAGAACATGATCTGAGACTTCTTTGTCTTTTAAAGGACACACTAAGATTTGCTCTTGTGAGAGACTGATAGACACCCGGTACACACACACACACACACCTCAGACAGAGAGACTGTGTGATACCTGGCTCACAGGTGAGCTCTGCCTTTATATAGCATTGAAAGAGCCTGCTGCGTGATCTCACTGACCTCTGCCATCTGTCTCTATGGAGATGAGGAGAAACGGAGCCGGCCAGAGCTGCTGCGTAACACGTCCAACTCTGCAAACATTCCCATTATAACCACTGAAGACATACTGCAGCCCACCTGACTAACCGTACAAAAAACTTGAAACAAAAAGAGTGTTATTTAAAGGTTATGTTCTGACTGCTGCATCCTCATAATTTTAGGAACACAATACATGATCACAAAGGATGACAAAAGAAGGAGTCTTTAATGGTAAATTCCACGGAGGAGAGTCACAGGGAAGAAGCTCAGGAAATAAACACACTTACACATAAACAATGGCGGAGAATGAAACAAAGGAAACTGAGGGCTTAAATACAAGGGACAGTAATCAACTGAATAGAAACAGGTGCGTAGAACTAATTAACAAACTAGGAAACTTATATGGAACATGCAGGAAGGCAAACTAGAACAAGGGAAACAGAACCAAAACACAATAAACATAAACCAAAACAGAACATACATGTTACTGATACTGGATTATTATCATGAACTAAAACTAAAACCATACAAATAAAATGACCATTAACTTAACTTATTTTATTTCAGCTATTTAAGTGCCTAACTATATAGACCTATAAAAAAAAGACTAATAAAAATGACAAAAACAACAAAATTACTACAACTTTAACTAAAATGAAAGTGAAAACAAAACATAAAAATAAATAATGACCAAAATAATAGCATATCCATGATACTAAAACAACAGCCTTCAATATTAAAAAGGCATAATAAATTATACAATCTTAGCAACATTACTGATCTCATTGACGGCAAAATGGTGTTGAATTATAAGTTTCATGTAATAAAGAATGGGTGGATTTCATTTGACCCTGCTTACAACAGAGTCAAACTAGAGATGAGATCTATTTGAGCTTTCTTAGTTTGAAATGATGTGAATTTGCTTTCAATCATGAAGTGCTCCGCTGCTTTATTACCTGTGAGACCTGCTGCTGAAGCGCCAGCCATCGCACGATCTGACTGATGGTTTCTTGAAGCTTTGAGCGATGATTGTTCTTGTTAGTGAACCCCATCATGAGAAGTGTTTTGTGTGGAGTTGTACTTGTGATAGATACTCTGTAATGATGGCAAACTAACTTTTCTATAAAAGTTGTATACAACTAACATAACGACAAGTGTAGGAGGATTAGTGAGTTGTTGGAACATTGTTGGACACGCTGCCAACATTTTCAACTTAAAAGACGTGACTTATTGATCATATAATTTTTTTTATAGTGAATGCTTGGAGACTTTTCTCATTCTACAAAGCATTTTATTAGACACATTTTTTTGTATAAATAAACGATTTTGTTTTATTGTCAAAGTAGTTTCATGAAATGCCAACATATCCAGTGTTTTTATTGTTAATTAAAACTATTTAAATCACTTTGGTTCATTTAAATAAAGCTGAAATGAAATAAAATATATCTATTAAATACTGAAAAATAAAATAAAGCTATAAAGAAAAATGATAAAAATGACAAATAAAAAAAGTTGTGAAAATGACAAAAAGCTCATAAAATGACTGAAACTAAAAAAATGTTTTTTATTTTCTGCAAAATATATATTTTTTTACATTAAAACCAATTACAAATATGAATAAATTAAGTAACAGAATATAAATAATACAGATCAGATTACTTTGAAAAGCCACATGATTGGAAGTAGGCTACGTAATACTTAAAGAGATAGTTCACCCCAAAATAAAAATTCTGTCATCATTTATTCATCAACATGTCGTTCCAGACCTGTAGGCTATGACTTTCTTTCTTTGCAAAAGAAAAAGAAGATATTTTGAAGAACACATGGGTTCAAACAACATTGGATCCCAATGACGTTCTTTTCTCAAAAATATCTTCTTCTAAGTTCAACTGAAGAAAGGAAGTCATACAAGTTTGGAACAACATAAGGATGAGTAAATACTGA